TACCCAGTTGAGAATCCACAATCTATGTCAACACATCTACTGAAAGCACTGTAGATCCACAGCCCTCCTTCAACTTGCAGTTGCCTGGCAAAGCTCTTCTCTGGTTAAACTCCACTTTCAGCTTGATGCCTGTGCCCAAACATCTGATGACAAATCCACTAGGACAAACAATAGCATTTTAAATTCATTGTCATTAACCTCAAATATTCTAAACCCCATTCAGTAATCCTGCTCTACTGCTCTAGAAATGTCATCTCCAAATGACCCTTCTGTCTCTTCCCACATCTTCTTCCTAGGCCTCCCCTCATCATCAATTAAAAACAAAAGCAAATGCCCTTCCTGGTCTCCTCATCCTCCTCCAGCAACTGCCTCATTTTTCTTCTTCCCTTTGCCTTCTCCCCTCCCTTTCTCTTCTCAACCTATTATCTGTAGATTGCTGTCCCCACCACTCTGACATATTCTGCTCTTGCCAAAGTCACTAATAAATTCTGCATTGCCAAGTTCAGTAGGCAGCTTCTCTGTCATATCCTTTTTTAAGTTTTTTTATTAGTATATAATGGTTGTACAGGGAGTTTCCTTGTGACATTCTGTCATACTTATACGACCTCCTATAAGTAATTGAGTCTGTAGATACAACTGAAACTCCTCCTGCTATGATGATCTTTCATTCCATGCTCTTTGTATAGTTGGCAATTTTTTGTGGTTAGGAGGTTAGCTTTAGTGCCTGCAACTCCTAGGAAACTCAACTTAAAGAAATGCAAGTAATTTAAATTCTCAGATTTGGTGAGTATTTTATCAAATGAATATAAACACATGTAATCTTTTTGTGTTCTAAGTACTGCTTGAACACATTTACATTGGAAAATTATAAAATTCTTCCAGAATTTAAATATTCTTCATTAAATTGCCACTTAAAGGAAGAAACTGGTATCCTAAAGAGTGTGTCCACTAATGCCTAGGGGACCATGCAAGGCCATAGTGCTGCATTGCCAGACCTTGCTATGTGACTATGGGACAATACCCCGATCTTTGTCAGCATGGGTTTTCCCACCTGAAAAGTAGATACGATTGCCCTTACTTAAGATAAGGAAAAAAAATATATATATGGAATATATGTACATATATATATACACATGTATATGCACATCTGTATGTAATAATAAAGGATTGGAGTATTTTTCTCATCTGCTTTCCTCTTGCCTATTCATCTGCATGTGATATCTCCTGGGAAAACACTAGGCCACATGCATGGGCTTAGCACTGCCTTCTGATGTTCTTCTTAAGTTGGTAAGTTCTCCTTTCAATGGGATGCATATTAAAGCATGTTTATTCAATTCCTCGTAAAGCAGATAAAGAAATATGACTGGCTTTACAGATAATAAGTTAATGAAGAAATTATTCAGAAACAAAAGGAGAGCAAGTAGATGAGCAGAGGGGTGGGGATCATTGCAACAGTCACTGGACAGAGTGGTACATTTGTTATCCCTTGGTCTCAGAACAGTGGTTGCTGGTAGCATTTATCCCCTTAACGTGCCAATCACAAGTACCCACACATTTCCAATCACTACCTGGAGTGCTTGAAGATTAATGAATGGCTCCTCCATTTGCTGCTTTATATTTTACAGCAAATGTACCTTCAGAAGAAATTTGCTAAAAAGACAATTCATAGAGCACTTTTACCCACAATGCTTTTATATCATGTTAAGAGCCTTTTAGCTTAATGTTTTTGAGCTTTGCAAGCTAATTCTGAAACACATTAAGTGAGGAATATATGTAAGGGGCTCTAAACCTACTGAGGGGAATTAGAGGGATCTTTTGGTAAGTAGTTTGGAGACAAACTGCCACATCAGTGTTCAATGACGTGATTACTGTAACAGAGGCCATCACCCCTTTTTACTTGCTTACAAGGGCACAAGTAAAATTAGGGGTTCTCTGTTTTTCTTGAAAGAGTGAATTTAGGAAGCCAAGGAAATAACTTCCTTAGCCATTACTGAGAAGAAGGTATTCTAGTATGATGCTACCCCTTGAAGGCCACTGTGATAGACCAGCATGGTAAGCAGCTTCCAAAAATGGCTCCCCCTGATTCCTGCTTCCTGGTTTTCATACCTTTTGGTAAGCCTCTGCCCTTGAGAATAGACTGGACCTAGTAACTTGTTTCTAATGAATACAATATGGAGGGAATGGTGGAATAGCACCTCTAAGACTCACTTACAAAACAAAAACAAACAAACAAAAATCCTGAGACTTCTGTTTTGCTCTCTCTGGCTTTTTGTTTGTTTGTTTTTGAATCATACCCCCAGCCTTCTCTCTGGCTTTTCTCAGCTTGCTTGCTGTTTTGAGGCAAGCTGCTATGTTGTAAGTTTCCCTAGGGAACGGTCCATTTAGCAAGGGCAGACAACATCCATCAAAGAGCTGAGGCCCTTGTTCCAATAATCCATGAAGAATTCTGCTGACAGCCATGTGAAGAGGCCTAGAAATGGCCAACCTCTGATTAAAGCCTGTGAGAGACTGTGTGGCAGATCTAGATAACCCATGACACTCACAGAAACTATGAAATAGCAAATATGTGTTGTTTTAAGCCATTAAACTTTGGGGTCATTTTTTACACAGTACTAGAGAAAACGATTATACCAGGTCTGCTCTAAATTGATAGGAAGTGATCACTTGTGATATGACTCATGATTGAGTCTTTAAGATTGAAAAACACTCAGAATTTTACATTAGAATAAGGAGTGAGGCAAGGCTGAGAACAAAACCCTCCTGAACATCTCTAGCAGAAAAAAAAAAAATTTGGCAGGATAACACAGAAGAGAGAACATTTATAGTCAGATCATTGACTGCAAATTTGAGCCAGTTGTTTAACCTCTCTGGGATTCAGTTATTTTCATGAACAAAGCTAGTGTTGGAATTGGGCTGGACTGTTAGAACTGCTAGCGTTCTACGTGATTTGAGGAAATACACCTCTCCTTAGCTGGAAAGGGCAACATTAGGAATTTATTCTTTAGTTCTTTCAGGGACTGTCCCTCAAGTTACTACTCCAGGAGAGAAATTTTGGATGGTGAGACAGACGAGGAAGGAGATTATATGGATACTTTTAAGGGTAAGGTAGGGTGGGAGGTAATTGTTGCTATAAAGTAGCTAATGGGTGGTGGTGACAGCAACATAGATAAGCCAGCTAATTTCACAACTTTGAGGACCTAGTTGGCTTCCTCCTCTTCTCCTCTTCCTGTCCCCTCTTCCCTCTCGTTCTGCCCTCTCCTCTCTCTCTCTCTCTCTCTCTCATGCATGCGCGCTAAGGATTAAATTCAGGGCCTTGAGCATGCTAGACAAGCACTGTACCTCAGAGGCACATACCTCTAGTCCTGACTTTCTCCTTTTTGATATATATGAACTTATAACTGGTCATATTTCCTCTCTTACTTTGCCTGCAAGGAAACTTAGAGCAAACTCAAGTCCAGTCACAGCTACTATGCTAAATTTTATGGTTACCTTATTTGTTGGCGTTCTTTTTCCCTGTCCTGTTTTCTACTTCTAGTTTATCACATCTTTTATTGCAAGGCAGCTGAAATTCTTTATGAAAAGTGTTGGAGGCATGAGTAAATACAATGAACGCAAACATACGTGTTTGAATTTTTTGCTCTTACTGTGATATCTGTGATATCTGGAGATATATTTCTATCTTGACTATTTTCAAATTTTAATTTGGTTTTGGGGAGGACAAAGATTTAAATTAGGCTAATGTGGAAAGAGTATAAATTGGAAAAATTAAAGAAAACACAAATCATGACAACATTTGTACCGCTTTTATTTGTAAAAATAACCATCTGAATGCATTTCTATAGTATATTACAGTTAAGTACTTCATTATGTGATTAGAGCATTCAGTAGTTGCAAAAGTATTAAACTGTGCTTGAGAAGATTCAGACTGGTTCAAAGTCATTCACTGAACTAAAAGCCTTTTTCCTCATTTTTACAGTTATGACTTTTACTAGAGTCATTCAACTCCCATTTACATAAGAAAACATTACAGACAAAATTCCACTGAAATCATCAAACAATATTTTATGCTGTTACAAATATGTTATGCAAAATATAACACTGGCACCAGATTTGCATCATCATGCTTTGCAAAGATATATTGCACATGCTAAAGCATAAAGTATGTAGACCGAACTACCAAACAAAAGATACTTGCATAAAAACACATAGAATTACATTTTATACACACACTCAGATTGTCACTATCTTAAAATTCTTTTCCCCTATAATACTGACCTATGGTTTACAGTTTTGTAAGAAGAAAGCATTTTAGCACTGCAAAATCAAACATAATTCTTATAGAAAACCTTAGCATTTTCATTTCCATTTCAAAGCAGAGAAAAGGGAAGATAGAAAAAAAAGACACTTTTTACATTCAAAGAAAAGTTGAAGTGAAAACTCACTGATATTATATTGCTCTGATAACACTCAAATGAAAAAAATACAAAACATTTCACAGAACATTTTCAGATATACAAATATAAAAGGCACTCTAACTTCATGTTATAGGACAAAACAAGGAAGAATTCTTCAACCAATGCAACAGATAAGCAAACCAAGTTGCTCAACAGTACAAATAACAACTAGTGCAGCAAATCCATTTGATGTTCTTGTTCTAACTTAATAATAAAATAATAAGTCAAGCAGCTGTTTACTGCTAAAGTACCAAAACATACTACGGTGCCCTTTTAGTAATGAGAACTAGAAATCCCCTGAGCTATTTACTGTAGAATCATGGCAGGTTTTAGGCAATTTGGAGATAGTAATGTATTTATCAAAGATAGGCAGACACTGGCGAATATGTAAGTGCAATGAAACATGATACATGTGGCTGTGGTTAAAAAACAGTGTAAAAATAATACATTAGGTAAAAGCACTGAGAAAATAAGACAAAATGCAACATTTTTCCCTAAGAGATATAATTGAATACACAGAAATTGTAGTTTTTAAAAGTCATTTCTTTAAAAAATTTGGTCTTGTCGGGAGTGAGAAATAGAAAGGGAGAGAGAGAGAGAGAGATTGAGTGATTCAATAAAGAGTAAGCATGATTTCATTTTGTTCCTTTGTCTTCCTTCTATCACAAAGAGTCAGCTCCATGGAGACAATGTCTCACAGAAGGTCACTGCTTTGCTGAAACCATCCTTCTACTCTCTGCTACTCTACAGGGAAAAATGTCAATGCTGCTTCACGGTTGTTCAGGCATTTTCTTTGCTGCTTTAAATGGCAATGGAGCAAAATGTCCATTCATTTCTAGAAAAAGACACTGCAGTATATCATGCTTCTTCAACCTGGAGCGCCCTTATTTTCAGTGTTTTGGTAAAGATAAGGCCATTATTACTCACTCACAATTCATCTACTTTTTAAAAATTCATCTTTAAACAAAAAGAACGGAAGGAGGGAAACACCACACCAAAATTTAAAAAATAAGAGTGATGCCGAATTTTTTTGATAAAACTAATACCAGTTCCATAAGACCTTTTGAGCAAGTTCACATGTTGAATTTGAGCTTACAATGAGTTTAAATTAAATCCAGGATCTTAAAAGAGTAAGATTAAAGTCTTTTACCACTTGATGAAAAATAGAATACTCTATCTGTATTTATGCAGATATGATAGAACAGTATTTTAAAAATATCTCACATACACTATAAAATAGACATTTCCAGGGTGAAAATGGAACCTATTTTAAAATGTTGAAGAGACCTGCCCTAATGTGACATATTTCGTTCCTGTCTCTTCCTCAAGTGGGAAATAGCACTTGGGCTGGTGATTTTTATTCCTTGTCTTGGCACAGTGCCCATGCTGACATCACTTCCATCTTGGTTATCAGAACCGTGTGAGATTTTCAATGTATTTAGGGTAATTTCTTGGTCTTTCTTTGGGCCACCTTGTGTATATGATCCACTGCACACTTTGCAGAAGAGGATATGGATGGCACTGTATAAGCTCTATGCTGGCTATAGACTGGACTGAGCGATGGATGAACCTGAGGGTTGGCTGGAAACCTTAGCAGTGGAAATGCTGGGTTTGTCCCCAGAGCTGTTGCCTAGCCAGGGTCAAGGGTGTTTTTCCACTTTTTTTGTTATTCCAAATAAGAATGTAGCAATTAAAACAGAGAACAAATAGTGGATGTTTCCTCGGCATTTGTTTCATTTCAAATAAATATAAACACATTTACATCAAAAGTATACAGACATTTTCTCTAGTTTGGCAAAAAAATAAACTGTGGTCAACACCTCATCAGTTACAAATGTTAAGCCATCAACTAGAAATCTGTGTCATAAGAAATATAAAATACAATAAAGACCAATACACAAAAGATTACATTTTAACTTCATAGAAAAGCTACTACAGTTTTCATTTGTATTTAGAGAGAAGAAATTTAAATCTTCCATTTTAGACTGAAGCATTTTGGTCCTCACGGATAGCTGGTTGATGAACTACATATATATATATATATACACACAGCAATGTGTGCGTGTGTATGTGCGTAAGTTTTAACGTCTCATTCTTCTTTTTGTATAGCTGTTCCAGGTGCGGAACGGGGTCCATTCAACCTAGAAGCTTTGGCAGAGGGAGTAGACACAGTATTCACTATGTTGATTTCATCATCAAGAAACTGTCAATTGGCTTTCATTTGCATATCACCCATCTCTACTTTCTGCTTTCATTTTCTTGGCTTCCTTTTACAGACACTCTTTCACTCATAACCTTGACCGAGATGCTTATGTAACATGTTACTATTGATGAATAAGTCTGAGGATTCTGATGTTTTTAAGAAGTTAACATTTTGATTTAAGAACAAATTAACAAAGGGTAGTTTCATATTAAATTTGTACATTGTCTCAAAGTTTGGGTGCAATATAATTTTTCCTTGAAATGTTACTAGATCAATTTGGGTTCAATCACTTGGGTGAAAAGTTAGTTACAGGCTATGGGGAGCACTGTGTGCCACATTTGTATTAAACAAAAAAGAATAAAAGCACATTCAAGTTTTCCACTTATCTGACAACTTTAACAAAAATCCTTAGGAAGAAGTTCTGGATATTTAAGTCCTTACTACAGAGAGAATAGGAATAGTTGGACTCTCTTCAAAAGATTATTACAGGCATTAGTTGTGAAGATGAACACCTTTGCCTTTGGCTTCTAGTGAGGAAGTAAACATCAAAGTCAGGAGAGGTCTGAGGCATTTCCTATCCACTTCTTCCCTCCCCTCCCAGGGGACATGAATGTCACATTGATAGACTTCTGAGAACTCACTGCTAAGTACATGAAAAAAAATTCTTTAGAGTGAACAGTTGCCTCTCTGTTGCATTATCCCCAAAGAAAAAGAATTAAATACTTAAAAAAAATTTTTTTACTTAAAATGAGAGGTAGACTTTCACACAAGTACCTTAGATCAAAAGAAAGCATGAAACAAAATAAAAGTCAGGGCCCATCTGTGTGAGTATTTTACCCTATGGCCTTGCTGCCCTCCCCTGGAGTGATGACTTCTCTACTGGCTTCTCGAAGCTGGGGCCCCACATAAACCTGGAATTCAAGCTCCTTTCCTTTCCTCCAACACAGGTGATCAAGGAAAAGCTTCTACAGTCCAAAGTCAGAATGTTTCAGAATCAGAATCATTTTCATTGTACCCATCCTCGGAGCCTACGTTGTTACTGCACAGGCTAACCATGCTACCCAGATTGGAGAGGGTCGTCCTGCTCAAATTGTCTTTTTTAAAACAAACGAAGTTGACAGCCGTCATTGTACTGGAAGGAGAAAAAGGCATCATGGTAGCCAAAATGAGGGCCAGGCAGTCAGCCACGTCTTTGTTAGGAGCGCAAGCCAGGGCCGGGGTATGACCTGGGCGTAAATGCAGACAAGGCAGTTGTTAGTCCTGGGGATCCAGAGAGGCGAGAGCATTCCACAGTACATCTCCTATGACCTCAAGGCAGAGATGCATGCTGAGTTAGAATTCATGCCAGGTAAAAGGAGGAGTTACTTCTCACAAGTCATGCTAGGGGCAAGACTAGAAGGACAGGGAGGGGGAGACATTTTATGGAGGGTTTTTTTTGTTGTTTTCAGCTCACGTGATCACAGAAAGCACAATATTATCCAAAGTTAGGCAGAATTCCAGCCTTCATCTAGTGAACAGAAACACGAGGGAGTAGAGGTGGGGCACAATTCCACAAAAACATCAACAGGACAACCAGGAAGATGTTTCTACTGGAGAGCAAATGCACACCATGAGCCCCAGACCTGGCCTGAGGAGGACTGTCATTCTGAGAACAATGACTTTCCATGGCAAGTAATTATGTGTCAAATTAGAAAAGATACTGAAAATTAGAGGACTGTAAATATGACTAATGCGGTTTTATATATGCTTCATAGAAAGTATATACCAATTAACTGGTTTTAGAAAAATGGAATCATTTGAAGAGATCAGACATAGAAAGGCACTAGCTGTTTGTGATTAAAAAATAACTATCATTTAAGAGAACTTTAACAGAATTCAAAAAATAGTCACCTCACCAACCAGCGTCCACATTTGAAATGTAAGATGAGAGAAAATTGCTGTGCTTGCCATAATTAGAGGTGTGTCATTCTCTATTAATTACACTTGAGAGGCCCAGTCCAGATGAGAAATCTGCCTGAGCAAGTAACACAGGTGGGGAAGTAGATTAATTCTATGATTTAATTGCTGCCCTTATCCAGTCTCTCTACTGTTGGAGTTGAAGGGGTTAAATGCTGTCTCTGCTGGTCACATCACCACTACACTATGAGCAATGCTCTATCATTCAGCTGAACAGACTTGATAAAACTTCCTTGTTATGTTCACCATTACTGGATCTGATGCCCACTCCTGAGATCTTAAAGATATTTTTCCTCAATATAATGTGAAAACAAACAAGAACAGACCAGGTCTCTTAACATTCCATTCCAGGGAGGACAGTGACAAGTAAAGGAATTATCGCTGCAGTGCTGTACAAAATTGCCACCAAACATCCCAGGCCTTAGGGATGTAGCTGAGCTCTGAGACAGGCAGGCCAGATTCTACTGACCCATGGCTCTTGTTCTTAAAGTCACTTTAGCCTGAACAGACCTCAGGTGAAGCAGATTAACACTAAAGAAAGACAAAACTAATTTATTCTGTCTTCTTGATTATGTTGGAAAAACACTACAAGCTTCTGCATGCGAACCCTAAGGTATATGGTGGCAATCAGAGGTGAGGGAAGGTGAGGTGGGAAGGTCAAGGAGATGGAGTAACGGAACTTTCTGTGCTTCCTAGGTGAGTCAGGCTGGGGAATAGAGCGGGGTACATGCTAGGATAAATGGGGCTGCAAAACCAAAACTAATACGAGTCAGCTAACGATGTTAGCACGGCTGCTTACTTCTGAGCAATAGGCATGAGCTGCTAATTCCAATACCTGTAATAAGCAGTTAATTGAGTTACATTAATACATGGTAATGCTTTAATTAAATGCCACAGTTTAAAAATTAATTTATAAATATCCAGAATTTCCTCTTTTGCTCCCTAAGGTTAAGAGTCATTGTGGTCATTTAAATTGTACAATCCTAATATTCATCAGTTTTCTGAATTTCTTAGGAAGCAGAATAGAAAGCTTCTGATGAGAATTATCTCAGTTAGAAAAGGAGTGTGATATGTATCAGGAGAAGCTTTCAAGCCTAGACCTTAATTAATTTTTTATTCATGTTCCAGAGTAGAAATATGAGTTCTGATCTGTACTTTTAAAAGATTTGATCTCAGAATGAACTGAAATATAATCAAGGATCTAGGTTCTCACTGAGCCCTTGAGCATGCACTAATGATGTGTCATCTCTAACTCTTGAGCATATGCAGTTAGAATTCTAAATGCCAAGTTGAAAGTTTTTTAGTGTGTCTAAACTATTTTAACCACCATGCTGAGGAGTTAGAGAACAGCTGCTGACGTTACATGCAAAATGGATGGCACTGGTGGGCTACAGGTAGAAAATGTGTTTTACAGAGAGATAGACAAGACAGATTTCCCTTGCTTGACTTTTTTTTTTTTTTACACACATGGAACTTCCAAAAGGGAGAAAATTCTTACTGCCTTTTTTAACCGGCTCCTATCTTTCTTATTTTTCTCTGGCTTCAACCAGCATATGAAGGATACCTGTAGCAGTATTTTTTCCACTTACCATTTTCATCTACAGCAAGAACACAGGCTCCTTTGGCCAGCAACTCCTCAACAACCACCTTCAAGCCATTGCGTGCAGCAACATGGAGGGGTCTAAGAAACAACACCGAGCATTAGTTGTGATACGTATGTGTGCAACTGTTGTACTTTGGATCTGGAATGTCCCTTACAGACCTATGTATTAAAGGCTTGGTCCCCTGCTTGGTGCTAGTGGGAGATAATGGAACCTTTAAGAGATGGGGCCTAATGGGAAGTTCTAGGTCATTAAGGGTGTGCCCTTGAAGGGGATTATAGGACTCCAGCTCCTTCCTCTTTCTCTCTTTTGTCTTAGTCAGAAGGGAGCAGTTTTGCTGTGCTACATGCTCTCTGCCATGATGCACTGCCTCCAAAGCAAAGAGGCTGACCAATCATGGACTGAAAGCTCTTAAGGTGTGAGCCAAAATAAACCTTTCCTCTTCACAAGTTGATCACCTCAGGTATTTGATATACTAATGGAAAGCTGACTAACACAGTGGCAATGTGACATTTTGGTTACTTTGTGTCATTAAAGGATGATGTGCTCAAAAAATCTACAAATAGTACATGGACATTCTTACTTTTCATTTTATTTTACTTTATTTATTTATTTGGCAGTACTGAGGTTTGAAATCAGTCTTGCACTTGCTAGGCAGGCACTCTACCACTTGAGCCACACCCCAGCCCTTGTAGAAGATTCTTTACTGCCTGATTTCTAGTTCAACATTTGAGTCACTGTTTCATACAGTTCATCAAAGATGACTGGTATTAATATATACTCTCAAATCTCATTATGATTATTGTTAAGTGTACCCAGATGTTTTACTGGGTGTATAATAGCTTATAGAATAATGTGAACTCGGTATACTGTACTATATACTGCTTAAGAATCTTAAATGAAAGAAAAAACCCTAATATTCCTTTGCCTTTAAAACAAATGCATAAGTAATTTCTTAAAATGGAAAATGAAGCAGCTTTTAGATCCTTCACACCAAGGGTTACACTGAATTATATTAAAATATAATTAAGACAAATAGCTTAGAAACTCTCCAAATGTATTCCGGGAACCTGATTTATAAAACTGTCATTGTTCCAGTCAGAATGCATAATGCAAATACATAATACAAATAGTTTCCCCAAAAATGTTAGTTAATAAGCCCATAAGATTTTTCTAACAGCTAACTAAATTTATGATGTTACCACAGAAACTTCAGCAAAGGAAAACAAAAAGACCTTACAAAATTCTATGAACTCTTATCAAAATAAGGATTCTAACTAAAACTGTGTAGCTAGTCAGCATTTGCAGGTGTGAGGCTGTGAGCTTCATGAAGGGGAAGCAAGTCTGCCTCTGTCACTACTGTGTTCCTCAGAGCTAGGCTGGCACATGGCTGCTCTTAATATTTGTTGTGTAAATGCCTATGAATCTGGGTTCAAGTCAAACTATTTTGGTTCCACTTACGTCTGCAGTGCATTATTTTTTGCATTAATAAGGCTCTCATCTTGTATCTTGTCAAGTATTAACAAGGCACATTTTTCATGACCCTAATACAGAAAAAAAATAAGAAATATGAGACAGAGGTACAGAAAAGTTCCTGAAAAATTATTTCACTATGCTTTAAGCAGAAAATAAATTTACTTTTCCTAAAAACATTTACAAGGCTATTTTCTGAGTATTTTTTTTTCTAAAAAGTAAATGTACCCCAGATACTGTAATATTCTAAATAAGATCTGTTAGGACTTGGTTAACATTTGTCTGATCTAAAATATTCATATTTAATGTTAATATTCCAAGATAGCTTTTAGATTAGTGTCCAGAGAATTAAAGCAGGTACTAGTTTAGATAGGTCAGCTGGTAAATAGAGAGCAGAAGCAGCAGTGTCCTTTAAATCCTTCAACATTACTTTTTTTTTGGTGTGACTGGGATTTGAACTCAGGGCTTTGCACTTGTAAAGCAAGTGCTCTACCACTTGAACCACATCTCTAGTCCATTTTTCACTGTCTGTTTTGGAGATGGGGATCTCATGAACTATTTTCCTGGGGTGGCCTCAAACCACAATCCTCCTGATCTCAGCCTCCCAAGTAGCTAGATTTACAGGTGTGAACCACTGGTGCCTGGCTTCAACACTGCTTTTTAAATACACATCAAGTTCCTCCTCCTTCTTCAAGCCTTCGATTACAACTTCAGTGATCCATTTATCCTTGGAATTCCCATTATACTATGATCTGTATCACTTATCATTTTCTACCTAATATTGTGAAGAAGCCCTGTTTCAGGAAAGCTCAATCTTTTCTTGTTCAACCAGGAGAAGATATCTCTGGATCTTAGGACAATTGATGGCCCATAATTTTTAAAAAATCAATTGTTAAATCAGAGGTCCTATAAATATTTCAAGCTTGGTGCCCTTTTAGGGGTCATGGATTATGACACCTTTGCTAATCGAGGTCCACAGACCAGCAGCATCAACACCAACCTTGACCCTCCCTGGATTACATAGTGAGACCCTGTCTCAAAACAACATCCCCTCGGGTGGAGCTAGCTGAAGTGGTAGTATGCTTGCCTAGAAAACAGAAGGTCCTAGGTTTAATCCCCAGTAACATGAACTATTCACCAGAATAAAAAAGGGGGGTGGTGGTTAAAGGGATAGAAATGCACGTGGCTACATTTATTGGCTTCACAGTAAAGTATTTTGGGCTGTGGTATTACAATGTCTTCAGCTGAAAACAAAGAGAAAACAATAGAACTGCTTATATTTTAGAAGCCACATATGTAAGGTCCTAACCTCATGTGGTACCATAACCAGGGTGACAGATACAGTGATAGCATCAAGACAGCTGGAATGTGGCAAGGATGCAAGTGGCCACTGCCATGGAAAGCATGTCCTCTTTGTACACCTGGGAATTTGCTCTTTCCTTCCCCGCTCTGATTCCACCCACAGTTGACAACCTCCTGGATAATGTATGCCTTCACTAAGAGTTATGCTACACACTTCCAAGACAGACAGAATTGAGTGCCATTACTACTATCACAACACTGAGCAACAGTCTTGGAGATTCATTTACGTACTTTACTGCTAGCCAAATGTAAGGGTGTATTCAAGTCCTTGTCCTTTAGAGTCAGATCGGCCTGGGCACTGTTCACCAAAATTTCTACAGGAAAAGCCAAAAGAAGGTTACTTAGACTAGATGCTAATCACACACATGCTGAAGCTGCTACAAAAAAATAACATTAAATTAGTTCAGCCCACCAATATTATTTAATGCTTTGGAAGAAGAAAAGCAATGTATTGTCATATTTGTTCTATCCAAATCAAAGGGTGACAGACATTAGTCTGAACTGTTCTCACAGTTTTATTATTTCCAGTTAAAATGATTCTGTTGTTATACTAGGTTTGTAAATGTTGAGAAATTTCACTGCAGAAGGGTTGGCTTACTTTGACAAGGTATACCAATGTCCACATTACAGGGAACTGAAAACAAATGTAAAACTGTTAGTGGCCCTTTTTCAGAAGGATATAGTAGAAGAACACCGATTTCTCAGTTGTGCATTATTTTGGTTTTAGGATAGGCATAAATGCAAAGTCCACATGACAAGTACATACCCACAGCACCGGCCTGGCCATTCTCAGCAGCCATCATCAATGCTGTTTTCCCTGAATTGTCTACTGCATTCACTTGAGCATTGTGTCTCAAAAGAAGCTGCAAGCACTCCACGTGATCAGCAAAGGCTGCTGCATGAAGGGGAGTCCTGAAGATGTCAGACAAATATTTCAGTTTCCTTTACACTTACTCTCCCTTCAGTAACTGCCAAGAAACATGTGAATGGTATTGTCTATGGATTTAAAACTTTTTATTTCACAGAGATAATGATAAAAAAAAATCCATGTCATCTATGGGACTGGCACCCTTTAGATTTGGGGGATGTTTGAAGTGGTCCTGATAATGAAATTAGCATCTGATCTGATTCTTTAATCTTGAGTTCCAGTGACTTCACTCTCATCTTTGAGATAGATACTTTCAAAACTAAGCTTTAAATTTGTTAAGTAGTTGGTTGATTAAATAAAAATTTTAAAAGCCTACATTATCTAATATGGATGGTTGATTTCCTTGGAAAGACAATTAGACATTATTTATCAAAACTAAAAACTGACCTTTTAATCAAGTAATTCTAGTCCTACAGTTTTAAATTTCTTTCTCTCTTTCTTTTCTTTTCCTTTGATGGCATTGGAGTTTGAACTCAAGGTCTTGTGCTTGCTAGTCACAAGAGCCACTTGAGCCACACCCCAGCCCTCCACTGCTACGACTTTATCTTCCAGATATACTTGGTCATGAGAACAGATTCATATATGAGAATATTCACTGTGTCACTTCTTTGAAAAAGCAAAATATTGAAGACAACTGAAATGTTCTTTAACAGAAAGCAGGCCGAGTACAATATAATAGATTCATTCAATGAAATAAGATGCAGCTTTCAAAAGAACACAGTAAATCTGCATGTTCTGGCATGGAAAGATCTCTAAGATGTACTAAAAGCAGAACATGGCTATAGAATGTGCCTGTTTACATAAAGAATATATGTATGTTTAGAAAACATTTAGGAAAATATAAAAACTTGGAAGGAGCAGTGAACAGTAGCCTTAAGAGACTGCCCATACATTTTAAAATTACATCTCCTTTATAATATCTCCTCTTTAAAAACCATACTGATATACTACTTTCTCAATTAAAAAATAGATGTTTGGCTGGGTAGGGAGGTGCACACTTGTAATCCCAGCACTCAGGAGGCAGACAGGAGGATCACCAGCTTGAGGCCAGCTTGGGCTACATAATGAGACTCTGTCTCATAAAAACCAAGGGCTAGGAATGTAGTTCAGTGGCAGAACATTGCCCAGCAGGGACAAGGCCCTGGATTTGATCCTATGTACCATTAAAAAAAATAAGGATTAAAACAGAAGTTTTGCTACTCGGCAACCCCAAAGCAAAAACTAAGACTCATCAAGACAAAAGGCATACTATCTTAGGATCACTCACCTGCCTTTGTCATCTCTACAACTGACGATACTGGAATCTATGGCCCCAAGTAGCAAGGATGCACAGTTCTCATGATCACTTATTCTAAAATGAAAATGAATTTTAATATAAAAATCACTCTTTAAAAATGATATAATCCCTCCTACCCATCTTTCCATGCACTGTACATTTTACATGCATTAAAAAGTCTGGTGCTAGGATTTGTGCTGTGTATTTTAATGGCACACACCGCAACCCCCAGCTCCTGTCCAGAACGTCTGCATTCAGGTAGGAGTTCACTACACACCAGGGATCCAAGAAACCATGAGAGGAATTTTGGAAACACTAGAATGGAAAAGGTAATGGATCCTTCAGATTTAAAATTATACAGATTCTTTATCATGGTAACTTCGTTTATTGGTTTATTTTATTCCTCTAATATCTTTTCAATTAAATGACCCAGTTTCATGTGAAGTCCACAGACAGAGCATCTTCACATCTTGGTCCCCAGGCTGACGATGGAAATCTGACTCTAAGTCACTGTATCCTCTGAACAACAACTCACTTTATGAGACTAGAGGAAAAATTAGATTTGCCAAAACTTTTACCATATATAAGAATGGAGAATTCTAGTATATGCAAAGTCTTCCTGGTAGAAAATGTCTAACCATCCACAGGTATATCACTGTTAACCCTGACTCATTTCTTTTAGAATTTATCAGACAATTGTGGGAAACCATTGAATAATTGTTCACATCACATAAAATGTGCCTCTCAGCCCACCTTTTCTTGCTGTTTCCCTAAGACGGTACGAGAGTCACCTAGGAACTGTGGCACACCTCAGAGAGCTCCTGGCAAAACCATTATTGTTAGGCTAGGGATCCCACTGCTCTCAGACCTACTTGTCTTTAGCAGCAAAATGGAATATTTTAGTCGTATCTGTACTCTAAACACTTTTTTCCTTCCCTAACAGGCAATTTTTCAACGTGGAGTGAAAAGAGCTCATTTAATACCATTAACTTCCAGTATGTCTACTTACATTGCACAGTGCAGTGGAGTAAAGGGATTACCGATAAATTCACGAAAACATTTTTGCTCCAAGAGTACCTCTATACAGTTTTCATTACCTGTAAGGAATCAAAAGAATTTAGGGAGTTTCCAAGAAAGAAACTTTGTTCAGCACAGTTGTTTATTTGGTTTTTTTTTTTTCATTAAGTATTTAATTCTAGCTTATGAATTTTCCTGAGTTGGCTGAATGTTCATTCTCTATGGAATAAAATTAACAAAATGCCAAGATGTTATTAACTACGCTCACAGATGCTCTGAGACATAATAAACAAATCAAACAGTGAAGGCCATATGGTCTGGTGGAGAGAGATAAAGAAGACATCTCATCTGCAAGAAAGATAGATTCTGTTACCCCAAACTCTTGATAGATAGATGCTTCACATATACATGCCTCAAGTTGCCCATATTTGTAATAGGAAATTTACCTTTCATTCACGTAAGTAGGTTAACTTACAATTATGTGCCCTAGCAAGGAGGAGAAGATGTGATTAGTAGACAATGGTATTTGAGGTGATGCATGTAAAAAGGTGATGCACTGTAAAATGCTTGCATTTTTAGTGATAGCTAGTACATAGTAGGCATCCAATAAGTATTTTTTTAATAAGTAGATGAATGAATGTGAGGAATTATTTTTGGTAAAGTGACAGATGACTTCTAAATCAACTGAATTTGAGTTAAATAAGGCCTCAGCTCTGTCGACTAACTTGTCATATGATCTGAGAAATTTGATGGATTTCTGAGTCTCAGTTTCCCATACATAGATAAAATTGGATTGGGAATACCTGCCCTACCAATGTCATAGCATGATGGGAATTTTACTCCATAAGGACTTCAGTGTGGTCTGTGAAGTGCGATGTACAATTGCAAGGCAGGAAGGCATTGCCATTTGACTTTGGAATACAGACTGATGTCCTGGAACAACTTCTTGGCTAAACTCAGTGCTAATTCAGTGAAAGTTCTTTTATGGTCTACTCAGAATGATAAAGACTGGACAATCTGAAATATTTAAATACAAATCAACCTTTCTTGTACCTCAAAAGAGACAAGTTGGTACTGCTTTTATGAGGATTAAGAAGCATATAAAGTAGTGACACACCCATGTTTATTGCAGCACTATTCACAATAGCCAAGTTGTGGAAACAGCCAAGATACCCCACTACTGATGAATGGATCAAGAAAATGTGGTATTTATACATAATGGAATTCTACTCAGCCATGAAGAAGAATGAAATCTTATCATTTGCAAGTAAATTGATGGAACTGGAGAACATCATTCTGAATGAGGTCAGCCAGGCTCAGAAGACCAAAAATCGTATGTTCTCCCTTATATGCAGACTTTATTTTTTATTTTTTTTATTTCTTTTATTCATATGTGCATACAATGTTTGGGTCATTTCTCCCCACTTCCCCCCCACCCCCTCCCTTTCCCCTGTCCCCTCTCTCTCCCCCACTTCCAGGCAGAAACTATTTTGCCCTTATCTCTAATTTTGTTGAAAAGAGAGTGAGTATAAGCAATAATAAGAAGGACCAAGGGTTCTTGCTAGTTGAGATAAGGATAGCTATACAAGGAGTTTACTTGCATTGCTTTCCTGTACATATGTGTTACATTCTAAATTAATTCTTCTCGAACTAACCTTTTCTCTAGTTCCTGGTCCCCTTCTCCTATTGGCCTCTGTTGCTTTAAAGTATCTGCATTAGTTTCTCTGCATTGAGGGCAACAAATGCTATCTAGGTTTTTGGGTGTCTGACCTATCCTCATACCTCTCTTGTGTGCTCTCGCTTTATCAAGTCCAATCCCCTTGTTGTGTCTTCCCTTGACCTAAAGTCTGATATGTGGACATTAGATCTAGGGCAAGCACAGTAATGTGGTTGGACTTGGATCACATGACAAGGGGAGAGCACATACGGGAGATATAGAAATAGGTAGAAAACCCAAAACATGAAAGTATTTGATGTCCCTACTCCAGAGGAACTAATACAGAAACCTTAAAGAGACAGAGACAGAGGTCAACATGAGAAGGGGCTCAGAAACCAGTGTAAAAATCAGTTAGAGGGAGAAATGACCCAAGCCTTGTATGCACATATGAATAAAAAAAAAAAAAGATCAGTTAGAGATGAATCAACTTGGGTTGTAACACATTTGTACATGAAAGCAATACTAGGAATCTTTCTGTATAGCTACCCTTAACCCAACTAGCAAAAATGCTTTGTCTTCCTTATTATGCTTATGTGTTCTCTTCAACAAAATTAGAGAGAAGGGAAGAACAGGTTCTGCCTGGAAGTGAGTGATGGGGGGGGCAGGGAGGGGAGGAGCAGGGGGGAGAAATGACCCATACAATGTACGCACATGTGAATAAATGAATAATAAAAAATTAAGAAAAAAAGCATAGGAAGTAATAAGTACAAGAAGCAGGCAAGTTACACTGTTCAGCTTTTCAACAGCATCTAACCCTCACTCATGTAGTTCTAGACTCCTCCACCCTTTATTAGTATGAATTTCCCAAAGGACTAGCTTAGGGAAGCATCTACACATACCATTCCTTAGGTGGGGACTAAAGTAATCCATCCCATCCTAAGAGTGTATGTAGGCAGGACTGGAGATTATTATTGAATTACTTTCAAAATGTCCAGTAAAGGGGATTCTGGGAAGATGGGAACTTGAGCCTCATCCTGGAAGAAAGCTGCCCTGGAAGGGTGAATTGCTTGGCAGACAAGTGTTCCTCCTTCCCTGCTTATACCCAAGAGGCCTAAGAACAGGAAGAACTCCACCCACCTCTGGGGAGAAGATGTGATCAGTAGCATGTGTGCACCTGTCATTATAGCCAACGCTTTTACTGCTCCCTCCTCATCTGCATGTTCTCCATTGACACAGACAGCTCACGGCTTGACTCAAAATGGGGAGAAGGAGCCCTTACCCATTTTAGATTTTAAAAAGTTACAATTCTCCAATGTCAAGGAGAGTGCAAAGTAAAGTTGAAGTAGTGGAAAATTGGGCTCTTGTTAGGGTACAAAGAATGAAAAAATGAAGACTGCAATAAAAATATTAGAGGTCTTAAATCAATGTAGAGCATTAAAAAGCCTTTCCTAGAACAAATAATTACAATTTCTAAATTTGAAAATTTAACAGAATGAAAAATGTACAAATAAAATTATAGAAGCCACATAAAAATATGGGGAAATATGTGTACAATCTTAGGGGCAGGAGATTTTCTTAAGCAAAACTTGAAACCTAGATACCATGAATGAAAGATATGAAGATTCACCTACATCAAAGCTCAGAACGTCTGCATGGAAGAAGACAGCCAAAACAAGGAACAGAAACATTTGCAACATACATAACACAGAGAAGAGTCACACTGCCAAGACAAGGTGCTCCTATGACTATATGAGAAAAGATGCACAACTCATTAGGGGAAAAATTGAGCAATGGATGGGAAAGGTCATTTTTGGAGAGGAAACACCAATACCCAATGTATGTCATTATAGGGAAATGCTAACTAACACAATGAGATACCTTTTTTTTGTCTTCCAAATTAACAATAAAAGGTGATATCATCCTGGCCTGGCAAAGCTGTGGGAAAATACTAAATTTGTGCACATTTGATGGGCTTAGAAATGATGATATCTTTTTTTGCAAAGTAGTACAGTATAATTTATTAAAATTTAAAAATATGCATGCCTTTTTACTCTGTAATTTCACTTTTGGAAACTTATCTTGTAGAATCTTTGGTACCAAAATATGCAGACACACACTACCTTGTTGTTTATCATAGGGAAAAAAATCCTAAATAAAATCTATATAACCATTTATAAAGGATCTGACTGAATAAATAATAAATTCTGGCATATATACATATAAATATATATATGAAATTATACACAACTATTAGATACATATTAACTTGTAAGAATATTCTGCAATACAATTTTAAGTAAACACCAACAAAAAAGAAAACTGTGGGATGGTATTTCATATAATTCTAGTTTAAAAACAGACACATACTCTAGTGCTGGTGGTTCATACTTGTAATCCAGTTGCTTGGGAGGTAGAGATAGGAGGACTGTAGTTTAGTGAGACCTAGTCTCCAAAAAAAAAAAAGCTGGGTGTGTTGGTGCATACCTCTAATTCTAGCTACTTGGAGGCTGAGGTAGGAGATCTTAGCCCTAGGCTGGCCTTGGACAAAAGCACAAGGCCCTATTTGAAAAACTAAAGCAAAAAGGGTTAGGGGTGTAGCTCAAGTGGTAGAATTCTTGTCTTAAACTATCTGCAAGTCCCTGAGTACAAAACTCCAGTACCACCCCCAAAAATGCACGTTTGTATTTATTTTATTTAGAGGAAAAATTATGAAAGATATATACCACATTAAGTCAGAAAGTGGGTTTAGAAATGAAAACATAATTTTATTTTTGGACACCAGTATTTTTAAATTGGTAGAATTAGCATACATTTCTTTTTTTAGTCATAGAAGGGAAATAAAAATGTAAAATCTCCTAAATAATAATTGCAATAAAACAAGTGTAGAATACAAAACAAAAAAATACCAAAAGAGAAACTATGTATCTACTAGTATACAATTTTAACAGGTTATTACATCACAATTCTCTGTTTTTGGGTATATCATTTTATTTCTTTATGATATCCCTGGTTATTTTATATAGCTCAGAAACTCTGATTAAAACTGGTTAAGTTCATCAGAAGTTGTGATTAGGAGTTTTATATTACTGATTAATAGAAAGAAAAAGTGAACTTTCACTGAATTAAGGCATCATGGCATCCATGGTAGGGGGTGAGGAGGTAATCTATTTTAAACAGCAACCAACCAAACAGACAAAACCAAAAAAAGTATCTGGGATGCAGAACAACTGGAAACCATGGTTTACAGCATTACATTATGTTCTCACCTCTACCAGTCCCAGTGGTCCTGGGGCAGGAAGTCTAGTGGTCAGTCAAATGTCAAGCAAGTAACTCACCATTGTAACAAGCCCAGTGCAGTGGCGTGTAGCCTTGGTTATCTTTGAAACAACAGTCCTCCTCAGAAAGAGCCATCTGGAGCAGCTCACTCAGCCATGTGGCATGGCCCCGAGCAGCTGCATAGTGCAAGGGCGTCCTCCCTCTGGAATCTTTACAGAGAATCGACACTTCTTGTTCCAGCAGCATTTGCACACATTCTTCATGTCCTGTCATAATCTGGTGCATTGCAATTAAAACACAAAGCAAACCTCAGAAGGGCAGAAGGGTCAGGAAGCAAAGTAGTTGGTTAGTTGATACACACTGATCTCAGAGGAAGAGGGCCTGGCCTTCAGGACAGCAGGCTTCCTGCTTCAGAGGCTGAAGGCAGGACAAACCCAGCAAACCTCATACCAGAAAAGTCTATGAACATCAGTATTTTGGAAACAGCTCTTGACTTCCCAAACAGAACCATGAACGGCATCATATTGTTGTGGAAGTACCAAATTTAGAATCAGAACGATATGGTTCCCTGTCCCCTGTAACTGTAGGTTAATGTACTTCTCTCTGGCTTATTTTATTTATCTGTAAAGAGGAATAGAAATAATGACCTCACAGTTATGTAACACTTATGGTGGAGATTTGTTCTGAGAATTGCAATGTTTGGTTATTTTGCTGTTTTGCAAACATCACAACACACACAAACTTAGTAAGTAAGCCAACCACACACCTAGGTTGTATGCTATCCCTATTGCTCCTAGACTACAAACCTGTACAGTATGAAAACATCACTAAGTGTTTGTGTACCTAAATATAAAAAGGTTCAGTAAAACTACTGGAATGCAGCTGATGGAAAGGTCATTATGTGCTGCATGACCATATAGGTAAAGCCCCCCACCCTCTTGCATGGCCTGCATGAAGGGCCCGAAAATTAAGAGCTGTGATCACGACAATAAGCACATAAAGCTCTCCTTCTTTTCACTTATTAGGGATTTACACCATCCCCAAATAGCAATTTTATGACTTCTGATTTTGTTCATTTCGATGATTTGACATCCTTTAAAAAACAATTCAGCAGATGTGCATAGGGAATTGCCCACAGGATACATAGTTTGGCATCAGGGATAATAAAGACCAGTTAAAAATAGCATGACTGCACAAAACCAGGTAATTACTGTAATAAATTATGGTACCTGCACACAACGGAGTATCTGAAATGATGATATAGGAATATACTTAATGACATGGAAAAAGGTCCTTTATATACTAAGAGAGAAAAAAACCCTCCAAATAGAGTATTCTATATTTTCTCTTTAAAGTTTAAAACAAATCTACAGAAAAATGATTGGAAGTATATATACCAAAAAGTGGTTATCTCCAAGAGGTATGATTACTACTGATTGTGATTTTCTTCTGTGCTTAAAAAAACATTTTTCAAATTTCTATGATGTTCATGTATTTTGTAATCAGAAAGCAGAACCAATTCCACCAACAGTAGGTGTTCATGCATCTATTATCATGATATGCCACAAAATATTATGAGCATGACCTAATAGCATCTTTCATTATTGTACTTTGTACAAAATTTTATAATTTCTTTTAAATTGGCTGAGTTTAGTTGGTTATATTATAAAACAAGTTTTTTTCTAAAAATTCATATAGAAGAGAAAAGAGGAAATAAGCTCCTTGAAAAGTGCTTGACTAAGGATGAGAAACACATACACACCCCTCTGTGTAAAGCAGTGCATCCCATGATGTCAACAGCATCTACATTTGCTTCTTTTTCAAGTAACAATGAAACAGCGTCGATATGTCCATAGGCTACTGCAAGCATCAGCGGGGTTCTAGGGAGGAAACAGATAGGCTTTAAAAGGGAGGTAAAAAATATTTCCATGGGCTGGTGGAGTGGCTCACGTGGTAGAGCGCCTGCCTGAGTTCAAAACCCCAGTAACACCAAAAAAAAAAAAAAATCAATATTTCCAGGCAGAGGACATCTCTCTTTTACACTTGACAATTGCTTAATACTTTCTGTGTTCCCAATTCACTACATGCTCTGTGGAACAAGCAATCTGTTTCTTCCCTAATGCCACAAGGAATGGTGTCAGGGACTGATCTGTAGGAGGGGCAGGGGAGGTTTCCATCTCAAAATAGACATTCCAATTCCATTGTCTTCAGAACTGTGTGGCAGGTATTCAGCGTCCATTGGGTAGGACGTGTGCACATGTAGAAGACCCTCTTGCTTCTATCAGAGCAGTTCTACTTTCATAGAGTCCGTGCTGGGCTTCTGCTCATGATTTCATTTAAACAAAACTTCACTGCCTTAAAGAAAAGCCTACAGGTCTAGAGGAAAGAACACAGTGCAGGATCCTGGAGGTGGCATTCAAGGTAGGACTGTGAAACTAATTAACTCACTTGGGTCTAGTCACCAGGGCTTTTCTGCTCTGAGTTTCCTTCTGTAAAAGAAGACTGGGTAGGGAATAGGCCAACAGGAGATACTTTGCAAAACAAAACTGAGGAAGGATAAAAATCTGAAGGATTTTTAATAATGGAGAAAGCCTCCTGAGGTCTGTCTGCTTGCTATTTTATTAATTAAAAATTGGAATGTAGCAGCTTCAGAAGAGGTAAAAGATGGGAAGAGAGAGGGAAAAGGAGAGAATACAAAAGAGAGCCAGGAATCATGGCCATCGCCAGAAAAAGCAATCTCTTTTATCAAGATATGCACACTCACCCACCCTCAAATGTTTTTTCTAGATATATGCTCTAGCACAAAGACACCTGGCCCATGAATTTCACCCAGATAGGTATGGCCAACCTAGAATTTAGCAGTCAGCCCTCTTAACTGCCCAACAAACCAATGAATTACCTGTTGTGACTGAAATGTCAACCCAAGGTTAAAGTTGAGAACACTTACTGTCCTTTGGCATCTTTCACGTCAACTACTTCTGGGTTGTCTGAAACTTCTAGTAATAGCCGCAGACACAGGGTGTGACCATTAATAACTGAAAAAGAAAGTAAGGAACATTCTTTTCACAGACAAATATTACAGCTATCTCTCCAAAGAGAAATTATTTGGCTTGTAATCAGTGATCTTCCATTGCTGCTAACAGATACCTCTGGGTTTCCAGTTCATGATGACTTGGGGCACAGCCTGGTCCAGTGTTAATCCTTCTTCCTCTTTCTTCCTGTGAGAGTACTTTGATTTTCACCTTTCTTTTTTGCTTCCCCTGTTGAGTTTTTCTTCAACTTGATATCTTTTCTTATCTCCTTGTGTAGGACTGATATCTCACCCCACTTGTCAGTTCCCCTTTAAGTTCCTCTAACAGTCACTCATATCTATATAATCTTCCTGTGTCTAGCCTGCCTCCAGCCCCTTTTAAAAATAAGAAAAAGAGAGGGCAGTAAGGAAAAGATGGGAAGAGGGGGAAGGAAAGGAGATGGAGAGGGAGGGCAAGGGCAGGAAGAACAGAACAGGTCCTACCTCTTCTTCTGGGTCACTTGGTAAACATTCCACAAACATTTCTCATTGACTTAAAGCAAAACGTCAGGCAAGAAAGGCGTGCCTGAACCAGACATTCACTCTCATGGATGATCAACTGGCATTGCAGGTGACTCAGGAGCGGGACCTTGTGACATCCTGGTGTTCCTCAAACCACAGCCCACCAATGTCTCAAGCATGCTTCTGACTGCAGGACCCACTTCTGCTGCTTTCTTTCTCTCCTCACCCTCCCCTCCAGTGAATCAGATGCCTACTAGGCCCTTTCCTATGGCTGCCGGCTCCCTCCTTACCCAGCAGACACAGCAGTGGGCAGGAAATACAATGTGGCTCCAATACCAAGTTGACTGGGTAAAGAGTACCCAGATGTACCCTTGTGTGCGCCTGGCAAGATGCTTCTTTAGGAAGTGGTAGTGGGACCTGGGAAGCAAACTTGCTGGGATGATAATGCCCGGAGTGAGGCACCTTCCTCTAGATTATTGGATGGAACCCTCAGAAATAGACAAGGCTTTCTACTCAGGGAGTAAGATGAGAACAAATATGTTTAAAATTCCATGCATAACCTACTTTCCTCTGTGAAAAATAAGAGCACCATAAAATACTTTGAATTTCTCTCTTGTGGATGTGGGGAAAGAAGGGAAGAGATGCAGCTATGTTAGGCTGATAAAGGCTTTTCTCAGAGCTGCATTTTACAGTCCTTTTATTGCTTGCCAGGCACAAGAGAATGCTAATTTAACATCGACACAATTTTCAGGGACAATGCGTATTAGAATTAGCTCACGTTCATAGATAGTATTCATACGAACAACAGGAATAATGGCCACATTTTGTGGACCATTGCATTCAGCTCATTCTCAGTAACATTCATTTATGGATCTCGGGAGGAAATTTTGCAGGTAATATATTATTGTTGCTGGTTTTTTTTCAGAATTATACAAAATCTGCTACCATTGTTGAAATATTGCAAGAGTATAAGGTATGCCTAGCATGCCTAAAAAGAAGTGATTACAAAGAACCAACAAATATTACAGACAAATATTACGTGGAGGTGGGGAGAAATAGCACATTTTAACTAGTTCCTTTTTCCTGTAGCAATTTCATAGTCTTTAAATGCTCATAATCACAAATGTTCCAAAAATATTTGGTTTTTTGGTTGATTATAAGATGAAAAAAAATCCATCTGATTTTTTATTACTTACCCAATGTGTCAGATAGCAAAATAGTGTCTTCAGTTATACTTTTATTTTTTATTGTACAGTAGCTTACTGAGCTTAGCTCATAGCCCTGATGAAAATTTATGTCTCCCTTAAAGTTCAAGTGTAGCCAAACTTAAATTCTTGTTGGCTTCCCATACACTGCATTTTCCCCCAACTGCCGTCCAGCAAAAAACCGGGCAGCATCTTTAGCTGTGCCCTGCCAGGTCCAGCTTTCTCTCAGACCAGCTCAGCCTCTCCCTAGCTAGGAGTGACAGCCATTTTTTTATGTTGTCCGGAGACCACAAATGTCACTACAGCTCTGTGTGCCCAGACCTTCAATATCCATCCTGGCTGCTGCTTCTCACAGTATTATGAGGGATTGAAATAAAGAAATCAGCCTTTCCAGTAAGTTGGAACAGATTCTGGGTAAGCAGTTCCTAAATCACAGACCAAAGATGGTGCACAGCAGACATTTTGTGAAGAACAGTTAAATGACAAGTGGGTCTTTTTAATGAATGGTGTGGGGGAAATCCAAATGGAGTGAATATTTTACCACTAGGGGGCCCCCTTGGACCACACCTACACCACAGTGGCAAATAAGGGACAATGATTGCTCTCCATTGTTTACCTATTTACAAGGCTGGTCTTCCACATTCAAAAGAGGCTCTTTGTAATTGTTGGGAATTACATGGTAACAAAGTGGAATGCTTGCCTTAATTGTGGACAACTAATCTTACAAAGAGAGAATCAAATTTGAACTTAATAATAATACCAAGAATACTTAGGGAGAAAAAAGACTAAATGTAGTGGTAAATAAGAAGTTACAATTTAACCTCACCAACCATCACTGATCTCACCAACAAAGCTTTTTCTAGCAATAGTCATTTCAAGTAATTACTCAATAGCTAGACCTTTTCAATCTCTATATTGCATCTCTTCAGTGACTTGGATGTTGAGAGATATCGAAATACTTCTACCAAGTCTATCATTTCTAGAAAATTTTCTCAAATAATAAGAATCATAGAGCCTTTTGAAAAACCAGTTTTCCTCCTTTGTTTCCCCAAAACAAACATATTTCACTGTGTATAGCATTATGACCAGGACATAAGGAAGATGTGACTTCCTTCACTTCTTTTGAGTCTTGTCTTGAAATGCCAGAAGTAGGAAAAGAAAAGTAAATTAACCTTCTTTGCCAGAAGGCTTTGCATGATTCTAGGATTTAAGTGTTATTTTAGGGGGTAGAGAGAGTGGGTTGGGAAGGAGGAGAGTGATAAAAAGACTAAAGCTAATGAAAAAAATGCCATGTGGTTTTGATGTGGTTTGTTCTATGTAACTTACTCTGAACATCACACCTTGCCTTTGTTCAGAAAGTTTGTGGTTGCCTTTGGCCAAAGATTCTAAACTGTCTTCAACTGAGGGGTATGGCTTAAGTCGTAGAGTGCCTGCCTTGTAAGCATAAGGTCCTTAGTTCAAAACCTAGTACTGACAGAAAAAAAAAAAAAAAAAAGACTTTGTAGGATGTCATTTTGGGCTGGCAGAATGACTCAAGTGGTAGAGTGCTTGCCTAGCAAGTGTGAGGCTGAGTTCAAACCCAAGTACCGTCAATAATAATAAAAACAACTCTCTTCTGAGGTAAGAAGAGGCCATAGACTGCCTGGCTATAAAACACCAATCATGTCCAAGGGGATGGCAGAAAAGCATTTTGGAAGTGTAGGTACATCTGATACAGAAAGAAAATTGATATTTAAAAAATTGGGATGAAAGAATCTGCTGACATGCTTTAATTCATACTTATGAGTGGGCCACAGGCCCTTGATGATACCCACCTGAGGCATGAAGTGGAGTTCTTTTGGTGACATTGTCTTTCACAAAGATGGATGCACCCTGACTGATAAGTGCTTCCACACATTCTGTGTGTCCCTTGAAGGCGGCCAGATCCAGAGCAGTACGGCCTTTCTCATCCCTGATATCCAGGTCCACTAGCGACTGAAGAAGGACCTCCAAGGCTTGATGGTGCCCATTGTAGGCCTGCAAAGAAGACACCAATGACTGGCTTGCTCACTCACTTCACAACACTCCAGAGTAGGGGCCAAGACCCCAAGGTCATGGGTAGAGACCACTCCAAACAGGACATCAGAAAAAATGTTTGGGATAATTATTGAAAGCAGGCAAATCAGAGTTGGACTGGAAACTGTAATTTGCAAACCTCAGTTGGATATGAATTTCTTCATGTTCTTTCTCCCTTACCAAATAATTTGTTCCAAAGGTACTCTGCATGCTAATGTAGTTTTATATTTCTGTTTATCAGTCTAATAACCTAAAATAGACAAATAGCTGCATGAATTAATATAGTCTTGTATCTGTCAGTTCAGTCCTAAACATCAACGAACAAAATGAGAGTTTTCAAGAATCTTTTGTTAGCAAAGCTGGAGAAAAAGAAATACTAAGAACACCATAGAGTTTGGGATTCAACAGAGGCAAATATAGCTTCCTATAGAATCCAATACTTGCCTAATTTCTAACCACGTGATCTTAGGCGGGCTTCTTAATTGCACTTCAAGTTTGTTTCCTCATCTATAAAATGAGAGCAATAAAATCTGCCTCCCGGGATTGCCGTGGAGATGAAAAGAGATAAATTGCTCAGGCTCTGCATAATATCTTGTGTATAGTTGCTGCTTTTTCTTCTTTTATTTTTTCCATTGATTATAATGAAATCACAGAAACAATTATAGAAATGTATAATATGTACCAGTGCCAAGTTTAGATGTATTATGAGGGCCTAGACTATATCAAGATCAAGACTAAAAGCCCCTCCTTCCACAGGTAAAGGACATTGAAAACAAAAGAGAGAAAGGGGGGTAAGGTTGCCTAGGGGAAAGCGTCAGGGAGGGAAGTAAAGAAGTAAAGAGGAAAAGTCTCTGGCCCCTCTTTTATCACCTGCACTTTTCATTTTTCACTGCAGCTATTACTCAATGCATAATTTATCTGAAAAAAAATTTAGCTCAAGTGATTAATTTCCTTAATATAAAAAGAGCTCTTAGAAACCGTTTTAAAAAATAGGAAAATGTGCAAAGGGCATGAAAAGGCAGCTCACAGAAAAAAGAAATGCAAAAGCCAACAGAGATAAAAAGCCATGTGGAAATTTGAATTACTATTTTTCAACAATCTTGGCAATCATTAAAGAGTTTGGTCATGTCCAATATTAGTTAAGACTGTGAAAAATGCAATCTTTTACTCGGCTGGTGGGAATATAGATCAATCAGACTTTTGTGGAGGTGATTTGACAGTATCTATAGAAAGTTTTTTAAAAGAAACGAAGTTGCAGACAGTATATTTAGCATGACCTCATTTATATAAAAAGCAAATGGATGAATATATATATTCATGTCCCTATATATTTCTATATGCATAGACAATTTTAGAAGAATATAAAAGATACTATTAGCAGTGGTTATCTCTAGAACTAGGAGGTAGAGAAATGAGCAAATGGACTTATTTCACCTTATCTTTTAAAAATGGTTTAAGTGACTTTTCCTGAATATACATTAATAACAATAACAAAAACTATCTTTAAAAGACTCCAATGGAGGGCATAAAGAGTACTGATAAATTTCTAAAAGTTCTCATTCATTATGTTTGTTAATGTTTAGGGTTATTTTTAATATATTAAGACATATAGTAACTCATAGCAATGAACCCCAAATTGATATCCCAGTCCCAATTTCTCTCTTTACTTCTAGATTTGTACATCCAACTGCCTCTTGGGCTTTCCCACTTGAATAGCTAATAGCATTGGAAACTGAATTCTTAATTTCATTCCTTGAACTTGCTCTACCTGCAGCCTTTCTCATCTCAGTAAACAAGAACATAGTTGCTCAGGCCCTAAACCTTGCAGTCACCTTCCCAACTCCTAAGTTCAAGACTGTAACATTACACAAGGGTTCTGAAACCATAGTGCCACAGTGCAAGTGGGTGCTGAAAAGTAGCCCCTTCTCCCCCTCATCACAGCTCCTTCTGCCTCCAATGCCTGGCCCTGGGTGTCTGCTGAGAGGAAGCTCATCCTGCTAACTCCTGCAGAGGTATCATTACATCCTCAGGCTTCACCCACAACCCCGTTCTAATTCACACAAAGATGTCACGTGACTAGTAGCAGCTGTCAAGGCCATTTCTGAGGAACTGCCATCTCTACTCTTTCTCACTATATGCCATCCTGTTCTGCCAGGATTACAGCAAACGCTTCCCTTCCCATCTTTGTCTCCTGGCAGTCTACTGTTGATATAGCCACCAGATGAACTCGTTGAACACCCAATTGGATCCTATGTCACTTTTGGCTTAAAACTTAGCCTATTGTTTTTTCCTTCATTGGTGACAAAATCCAAAAGTTTCCAATTAGGGCCTCAGGATCCTGTCCCTCTGTGCTTATCACCGGAAATCCCCTCATTGGCTCTAGTCAGCCACACTGGCCTCTCCACAGTCAAGGACATGCATTTCCTCCTGTGGACCACTGCATCTGCATTTTCTGTGTCCCCTGACTGAAAGCTCTTTCCCTAGGCAGTCACTTGGCTCTCCTAGTACTTCTGCTCAAGTCCCACCTGACCAGGGAGATCTGCACTCCACTCTCCACCCTTTTATCCTGCTTTATTTTGTCTTCAGAGCACTTCTTACCACCTCAGAGCAGTTACTTATCAGTTGATTTGTTTATTGTTTGTCATTGAAGGTAACTTATGTGGGCAGTTCACTGCTGTATCCTGTCATCATGCTTGTCACATTGTAGATACTAAACAATTATTTGGTAAATAAATGAATGACTATAACACATATTATCATTTATTCATATTAGAAATAAAAAACATGTTTTAAATAGCAATGATTTATTGAGGGATTTTTATGTGCTCAGCTCTATAGCATCTCATTTAATCTTTGCAAATATCTTTTTTCATAGGTTAAAAAATAAAAAACAAAACAAGTAGTGCTAATGCATTTGTCCATGACCACTTAACTAGTGACAAAGTCAGGACCTGAACCCAGAGTCTATGACCTAAAACCCATGCCTTAGGCACACTTCTTCCTCAATATTTAATTAATTTAAAACAAATACTTTTGTATTTATACATAATAGAACAGGACCAAATGACAAATATTGAATCAAAACCTAAACTCCTTCTATAGGAAGCTCAACACAGAGATAAAGTGATGTTAACAGAACTACGAAGTAAGAAGGTCTACTCTGGGACTTACTTTGAACTATTGCTCTTTTATTGCATGCATGGCCTCAAGTTGAGACAGGAAAGTAAGTTCCTATATGTCTAACTTTCCGGTCTATACTTGGTATGCCAGTCGTAACTGCATGGAACAGTAACATGCAGGAAGTAATAGCTGACTTCAGAATTTACTGACTCCTTGCTGTGTGTCAGGCAGCATGCACCGGGCATATTGCACCTCGTTTATTTCTCACGACAATCTGGGTTTTGGATACTCCTGTTATCTTCATTGTACTCATAAGAACACAGAGGGCAGAGCTGTCATCCAGCTCTCCCAAGGTTGTACAGCCTTGTGTGATAGAGCTGGAGTTGAACAGGCTGACCCAGGTCTCTGAGCTGTGGGCTTTTTAAGAATGAATATAGGGGCTGAGGTGTGGTTCAAATGGTAGAGCACCTGCCTAGCAAGTACCAGGCCACATTCAAACCCCACTACTCCCCCCCAAAAAAAGAGTGAATGTGGGGGCTTTTCTGTGCATATTGGCTTATTGAGCTACAGGCTTGGTGTTCCACATCAGCCGTTACTCCATAAAGACCACCACTGCCCCTCTACCCTGAAACTGCCACCACTGCCACTGCCACTGCCTCCACAATCTTCAGTGGGCAAAGATCCGTCAGTTCTGAAGAGTTCTTAGTCTCACAACAGAGCCTCTCAACAGCATGGAGATTACTGTCAGGAGCAGCACAACCTTTCTTCAGATAAATGAACTATAGAAATGCATGACTACTTTACCAAGAAGCTCCCATAAGAGGGGTGAAGCTGGACACAGAAGTACGGGGTTAAAGTCTGCAGAGCATTGTACAAGAGTCCTAACAGGGATGGGATAAACCTTGGTGACTTTCCTTTCTGCTGCCTCAGTGTTATGGGACCAAAGCATTGCTACTTCTTGATAGGAGGTGCATTTCATTTCCCATTGCTCCTAATGTCACACTGAGAATTTCAAGTGGAACATATTGAAGTAGATTTCAGTTTCTTTGCATCATTTTTGTATCCAAGTTTTAAAATTCTGTAACAACCCTATTGAGTGTTTTTTAACTAAATTAACATGGATCCAATGAACTTGCCTATACCCAGGGAAGTCACATTCAAGAACATGAGACTCCTTATTACACACAATCCAACCAATGTGACCTTAAACACATTTATAGAGGAGCTTAAGACATATGGATTTGCCACAATAGGAAGAGTATGTGGAGCAAGTTATGACACTGCTCCTGTGGAAAAAGAAGGCATCCATGGTCTCCATTGGTCTTTTGATGGTGCACCAAAATCCAACCAGACTGTTGATGACTGGTTAAATGCTATAAAAATTAAGTTTCATAAAGAACCTCTTTTACATATCTTTTGTAATTTTAATGGGTTTCATTATTCTATTTTCATACATGCATATGATGACCTTTGATCACACCCACCACCACCTCCAGAACCTGGTTGCTGTATTGCTGTCCATTGTATTTCAGGCCCTGGGAGAGCTCCAGTGCTTGTTACCCTAGCAACAAGCAGTACAATTCTTAAGGCAAAAGAAGCATGGGGCTTTTAACACAAAGCAACTTTTGTATTTGGGGAAGTATCATTCTAAAATGCAGCTGTTCCTCAAAGATTCCAATGGTCATAGAAACAATTGTCTCCTTAAAAAAAAAAAAAGCTGGGGTACCTGATGTTATTGCCTTGGCAGTCGAACTTGAAACAGGATCTAATTTGTTGTCTGTGTTAGCCAGCATGTCAGCTTGGTGAGTAAGCCTAATGCAGCTTCCACAAGAGTATTGAAA